TTGACTAGAAACAGGAGAAGGGCCCCAATTTACTCCATTATTTCCAAATGAAACTCCAAAGCCCCTGCCTACAGAACTTAAGTAACCACCAGAAGTGGTGGAATTTACTCCACTGTTAAGACCCCCATTTCCCCAGACATTTCGGTTTGCTGAGTTCAAAACAGAATCATTTCTTCCAGTCCCAGCATTATAACCAATAGGTGTGTTATACCTGTTTGAATTTCCACTATAATATGGACTCAGCATTCGCCCATATCCTACATTACTACCAAAGTTTGAACTTGCACTATAGCTTGGACTCAAACCTGACTCCAAGTTCATACCTAATCCATAACCAGTTGTACCATATGCAGCATAGCCACTCCGGCCACCACTAAGAGGACTAAACCTATCATCCACCCTGACTCCGAAACCTCCAACTGAGTTTAGATTATAACCCTGAGCATAACTATTAAGGAAGCTACTTGCTCTATTCAAACTGTAATTATTATATCCTATAAGAGGGCTTCGGCTTGGCCCTGGGGATAGCTCTTTCGGGACTGCCCTCTTAACCTCAACCATTTTACCATTGAGTTCATGAAATGTTTTATGCAGCACTCTATCCACTGCATCCTCAGCATCATAAGTGATGAAGCCAAACCCTCTTGGCCTTTGCGTGTTATGGTCATACATCACCACAACATCAGTAATTGTACCAAACTGATCAAAGTACTTCTTAAAGTCACTCTCAGTAATAGAAGATGGTAAACCTCCAACAAAAATCTTCTTTGTGCGCCCATGTCCAGGAGAACCATGAGGGCTGCTAGCAATTCTGTTTAAAATGTGTTGATCATCTCTGGGTACAGCCTTCTTTGCTTCAACCTGAAAAGTGAGAAACGACTAGCCAAAATCAAATACATTGTCTCAGTTTGAAAGCTAACAATTCTAATCAGATTATACCCAAATCAAATTATATAAGGCCACTGCTGCATGACGAGATTTGAATTAGAATTAACATCTCAAGACTACAAGTTTAGACATTTGGACTCATTTACAGCTGAACTTCAATAAATTCCTGATTTACATTCAAATCCTTAAAAGGATATTCTGAGACTATGCAACTTACCGAGCGACCATCAATCATGTGCTTATCCATGATTACTCTCTCGGCAATAGCAGGATCTGCAAAGACGATGAAACCAAAGCCACGGGCACGGCCAGTGGCACGATCTCTCATGATCACTGCCTCCACCACCTCTCCATACTTGCTAAAATATTCTTTGAGACGTTCTTCATCTGTGTCCCAAGAAATCCCACCAATGAAGAGCTTACCAAGATCTGATTCCATCTTTTTCTACAATCATCACCCCATCAATCAATTATTTAAACCCAATACCAAAACAGTAGGCAGAAGACCACACCATTTGACCAATTCATTAAAAACAGAACTATCCACTTAAATTCCACAACTTAACTTCACAATTCAATGAGAATTTCTCATCAATCAATCATTTTCAAGTCTTCCGCATGGGAACCAATCTAAAACCATGTAATCACAAGTAATCGTATTGATTATACATTAAACCAAGCATTATAAGAATCCAGATTGCAAGACCATAATCTTCTAAAAAAAAATACGGCAAAGATGACAATACGCCAAAGTAAAACTGACAGAAAAGATACCTTATATGATAATTTAGACAGAACCGGATTGGTGGCCTGATCAAAGACAAAGTGGGTGATGGTCAAATCCAATATAGGATCATGGGATCCTTCAACAAGCAATCAGAATACAACCCACAATTCCTGATAATCGAAAAGGCAAAGCAAATGAAGCCAAACGGAGAATTAGGCGGATCAAATTAAATACCCATATGAGATTGAAGAGAGATCAAGAGGAAGGAGCCAAAAAAGGAAAGAAAATTCACCATTTTGGAGATGACCCAGAGGAGAATATGAGGGGAAACTAAGATCTGCGAGAAGGAAGAGGAAGAAGAAGAAGAAAGAAAACAGGGCAAGAGATGTTGTTGTTCATTTTATTTGTCTAAAAGCTCCTCCTCCTCTCTCTTCTTCTTCTCTCTCCATCTCTCTCTGTTTTTATTTATTTTATTTATTATTATTTTTTATCTTTCTTTGGTTATTCCACTCCTCTTAATTAAATCAAGAGAAATGGAATTTGTAGCTAGAGAATAGTCAGAGAGAGACACAGAGAGATTATATATTAATAGAGAGAGAGAGAGAGATTGGCAAATCCTCTGGTGTAAGAATATTTGGAGGAGCCTAAAGAGTGATGACAGAGATGATGACCTTTTAAAAAAAAATTTAAAATTTCATTTCAAAAATAAAATATCATTTTTCTAATTTTTATTTTTCCATAGAAGTTAATGGAGGAATATTTTTATTTTTCACAAATATCTTTAATTTTTAATTTTAATTTATGTAACTTAATGGAGTTTTTTTTTTTAATTTAAATTACATATAATAAACTATTCCTTGCATGTTAGAACCAAAATGAAATTATACACAACTTTTTTTAGCCTTGTTTTCTTTTTCTATATGCATATAAATAATTGAAAATATACTTTTTTGAATTACTTTTACTTTGGTAATCATAAATTTATTTACTTTAGAGGGTGGACAAAAGTTTGATTTTTTTTTTTACCATTAAAACAAGTTTTATTTTTAATTAACCTTTTTTTTTTATTTTAAATGTCAATTTTGCATGTAATATTACATGAAAATTGTACATGAATCAACCATATGGATACCCTTGGAAAAATTCAAATTGGTAAGTAAATTAAACAAATTTCTGTTTTTGATTTGAATCCAACTCATATGGGTAAAAGACCTAATTCAATAAATAAGATACAATGAGTTCAAACAAGATTATTTTATTGTAATTATAAAATAATATATGAAAAAAAGATATAATACAATTTGTAATAATAATATAGTATATAACTAAAAAAAAAATTAATTTTGTATTTTTTTAAAATTCTCAAATTAGTTACTTAAACTACCTAAAAAAATTACCATTTTACTGGACTGAGAATGACAAAACAACTACTAATTGAATTAATGTTTTGGTTAAACCATCATTTCACCTTGCTTCTTAAAAGCACTTATTAATTGTGGATTTGGTCTGTGTTTAAAAGCTAATTAATTAACTGCTGGATTTTGTGTATAAATTTATCTACCTTTACACCATTCATGGAATTAGTCTAAATTATAGCCTGAAAATTCATGACAATTATTTTTATTTATATATATATATTAACTAAATTTTATGATTTTATGTATGAAATTCATATAAATTTTTTTAAAAAATACCTTTAAAATTTTAATAATCTTAAATATAATATGAGAGTTAGATATTGACACTACCAGTTTGGTGACATGCTTTCTAACCACATCTTCACAAACTTAAAAATGAAAGAGCTTAATTAAAAAAAAGTCCCACCCATTAAAAGATTATCAGTCAAGATCAACAACAAGGCTTCTATTTCAAGTGTTCAGAAAAAAAAAAAAAAAAAAGGGCAACCTAAATCTATTTGATAAAGTGGTTTTATAGATACATAAATTATTTCACTCCCCTACTTTATACTTTATATATATATATATATATATATATATATATACACACACACATATACATATATACAAATTTGTAACAATTAGAAAAAGAATTGACTAACTATCATACAATTCTAACTCAAAAATATTGCAACTAAAGAATATTTAAAAAAAAAAAAGAATAAAGAGGAAAAAAATTAAATATTAATATAATTTTTTTTATTCAAAATTTTTACTAATTTTTAAATAAGTAAATTCAATACTTAATTTTTTAAAATAATAAGTATAATCTTTATATATTTATCGCTTATTATTTTTTTAAATGATAGGTAAAATTTTATAAATAAAATTTGATATATTAGGTATACTTTGTATATAAACAAGTAAATACAGGTGCGACAAAATGTATTAGTTACGAATAATAAAAACATTGAATGACGTAATAAATATATAAATTATTGTAGATCTTCGTACTTAATCGATGTGAGATTAATATTTCTTAATACGTTTTAATTCCTTGTAAGATTGATAGAAGAGATGACATTTGAGAGAAAGCAAAGATTTAGCAAACAAGAGCTGCTGAGATCTTTATCTACTTATGTTAATTTTCTTAACAGTAATTGTACTAGTTAATCAAAAGATACAAGCAAGCATAAGCTAAGACACGTACTTACTCTCAAGTATTAGCTAAACTAAGAACATTCCTTATACTCCAAATCCAACTCACTCTCCTTAACTACCATCTGAATTGGCTTCTTCTGCCTTTATTATAAGCTACCATCAAAGCTCTTCCTGCTCGAAAAAGCTAAAACTGAATTACTCTCGAGAAAAGACTAAAAAGGAACAAGACAATTTTTCAATAGTTTGATGCAGGAGTGTCCCATGTCTCTGGAATGACATTGTTGAGCAAACAAGAATCGAATTGACTGGAAGTGAAAGAAGACATCGATGAAAAAGAACGATCTTCTTGTGCATTCACTATCTCCTCTAACATCTCCGCAACTTCTTCCATGGTTGGCCGGTCTTGAGGCGAATGTGACACGCATTTAAGGGAGATATTGAGCAAAGGGAAAGCCATCCATTGCCTTGCAGCTATATTCACTTCCTTGTCGAAAACTTCTCCAGTCCATTCTTCCTTCACCACAGCCTTAACCCATTTAGGGAGGTCTATTCCAGTTTTCTCGACTGTTTTTCCTGTTAGCAGCTCGAGTAGGATGACACCAAAACTATAAACATCTCCTTGTTCGCTTGGAAGTTTCTCCGGAGCTGTATAGCCATTAGATGCAAAAGGAAGAACCTTTTTTGGGTCTAGGAATCTTGAAATTCCATATTCACTTATTAGTGGTTCCTTATTTTCATCCAACAGGATGTTTGAAAGCTTGAGGTTGCCATGAGGGATAATCTCCCTACTGTTGGATCTCTGATGTATGAAGTTTAGTCCCCTTGCAATGCCACGGGCTATCGATACCCGAAGTTTCCAGGAAAATTCTGTCCGTCCTTCAATATAATCTGAAGGTTACAAACAACAATCTCTGAGATATTCATGAAAAAAATCTTGGAGACAAAGCATGAATTAAACCAAATGTGAGTAATGAGGGTATACTTTCCAGCAAGTTGAATAGGCTGCCATTGCTTTGATACTTGTAAATCAGAAGCTTTTCTTCATCCGTTGAATTGTATCCGACTAGGGGGAGAATGTTGGGATGTTTCAAGTTCCCAATTTTTCCCGTTGTGCTGGAAAATTCTTCAAACGAGACCTGCAAGTTTTTCAATCTTTTGACAGCATAAACATTTTTGTTCTTTAGTGTAACTTTGTAAAGGCTGCTGCAAATACTCTCACCCTGCAAATCAGCTGTGCCCTCGATGAGATCATCAAACGTGAACCTCTCAATCTCTTCAACAAAGAATACAAGATCCGATTTCTTTCCCTCCAGCTTCATTTCCTCTATATCCTTGATTGGAGAAACTCTCAGAGGAGAGGCCTGAAGAGCCTTTAGAATCTCCCTCTCTTTGGCTAATTTAGCAGTTTTCTTGCTCAGTGAACATATAAACAACATGAACAGTCCAATTCCAAGAACCAACAGCAAGAAAATGATCCAATTTGTCGACCATTTGGACTTTCCAGACGGAGAAGAACTCTTAGGAGCCTCTGCTGGTGGTGACACTGAATCTGTTTGTTCCACCAAGTTTCTGATGCTACTCATCTGTAAACCCTTTGGATTCATTGAATGCTTTTTTACATGCTTAAACTCTTTGTTGAATGATGGGAGGATGCACGAAAAACAATTCTTGGAGATATCCAATCTCCTGAGGTGTTTCAACTTTGATAGCTCCACAGGCACTGTCCCACTCAAGAGATTTCTGCTGAGGTTCAGATAGGTTAACTTTCGGCAATCTGATAATGAATTAGGAATACTTCCGTGGATGAGATTATTTGCTAGGCTAAGAACTTTCAGGCCATGGAGCTTGCATAAGGAATCTGCATCAATCCTGCCACTAAGATTCAAGCTTTCTAGTCTGATTTCTGTTATCGAGGTTCGTTGCAGATTGCACTTAACACCCTTCAAGTTACATGGGCGTGGCAGAAACAATCCGTTCAAGCTTATCTTGACACAGTTTTGAGGATCAACAGCTCTTATGAACTTGAAAAGGTAGTCAGATTCCAACATCTCATCTGCGGTAGAGACTGTAAACAAGAGATGAAGGACTGCTAGTCCTGTTAGATATAGAGCTTGCTTAGTCTGCATCTCTAGTAGCCTTCACAGTTCTTTGCTGACCTATCAGTAATCAAACACACAATCATGATCATATCTGGTCCTTTCTATGATTTCTTTTTTGAAGATTTCTCAAAACATATTCTCAAATGATATGTAGTTAATTCAGATCATACACCACCATCTCTTTGTTCTTTTTCAGGATATAGACATTTCATTTTGTTCTTCCCAAAGTTTTGAAGTTACAGAGAACTGCAGTCTCAAATGAACAAATCCAGTGATTTGATATCTTCTATGCAAATATTATAAGTAATCCATGTCTTGTCTGTTTGTTTGGTAATTGCTGAAAATTGGCAGTTCCAATGCTTCCACCTCTGCCTTGTTTGGTTATCTACTAATAATTAATTGAAACTTACACTGTAAAACTAATTACTTATATGAACTAAATTTCTAATCCTACCACCAACCCTGTTTCTTTTACATGGGACTAAAAAACTTCTTATGCAGAAACAGTTTCTTTTCTTTATCCAAGTAAGGTTAAGGTTCAGGTTTAATGCTAAATAGGGTTTGAAATTAATCAGAACACAATTAAAAAGATCAGAACGAAAAAATTTCTTTTCGACCAAGTAATTGAAGGATCATCGTATATAGTCAAAGTTCCGTGTCATCTGAAAAGTAAAATATTGAATCATTAGCACTCCAAAACAATACTTTTCTCCTCAAGAAAGACCTAACAGATCAAGACATTTTTGCTCTAATTGTCATCTTCTACCTTAAAAGGATTATTATTCAAGTCTTGTGCATTGGGAACTCACGGACAAAAACCTACCAATGTCAACGAAAAAAAGTTTAGTGTGAATCCATCCTTTCTTGCCTTTGGAAATGGAGGCCATGGCAATCCAGTTCAAGCCAGGTAAGCAATACTTTTCCAACAAATATGAGTGTGACAGCAAAACAACAAATATATATATATATATATATGTTATAATTACATTTTATATTATAATTACAAAAAGTTCCTCTGATTTTTGAAGGGTTGCTTCTCCAAGGCTGTTTTTATGAAAGAGTGAATTGTTTGCTTCAGAGTCTCAATCACTAGTTGGCAAACCAAACTAGAACATATAATAAACAATTCGACACATTCATCCTACCTCACCATTATATATATGTATATATATAGCATTTTTGACTTCATTCAAAATAATCCAGCTCAATAAGAAAACCTTTCATACAAGAAACTAATAGACGAAATCTCAATAATCTTCAACCGTAAAATAATAATATTGAATATTTTTGTAGAAAGTTTCTATGTACAGATTCAACAAAATCCCCCACACAACTATACAATCCAAATTCTTCCTGGACTTCAAACTTATCGAATATTTCTCTTTTTTGAAAGAGAAAAAAGAAAAGGTAATAACAAAAAAAAAAAATGAATGCCATCACCTTAAAATCCCCAGATAATATTCATTAGACTACTGATTAAGAAAAAAAAACAAATGGGAAAAGTAAAAAAAAAAAAACATATTCGGCTGGTTTTTGCCATTCATATAATCTGTGATCCTTAGATCATTAACAAGCACTATCTTCTTTAGTTGTCGTCATCATCAGCATCATTAGTTTTCGTCATTATCAATTCCATCAAAGAAGGGATCTTTCAGAAGCTCGGATGCAGAGGGTCTTGCACGCGGCTGAGCAAGGCACTTCTCGATGAATGCCTTCACCTCTGGATCCCTAACTTTGCTCAAAGCCTGAGGTCTCACTCCAGATGATACCTTTTTGTATATCTTGGCTACACTGTCACATTCACTGTAGGGAATTTCCACTGTTACCATCTCCAACACACACATTCCGAATGAGTATATGTCAACCAATTCTGTGTAGTCTTCATCGTAGAGCTCCGGTGCCATAAACTCTGGGGTGCCTAGAATTGAATGCGCTATGTGACTCTTTCCAGTTACAGCAGCCAAACCCAGATCACCAATCTTGACCTATTGATTAAGACAAAATGACAATAAGCAATACAATTTCAGACTAGGTCTAAGGAATAGATACAACAAGACTGTTCATATATCTTATGTCTCAATGAATTACTGTATATAGACAATATCATGTTCTAACTGAAATCCAGCAAAACTAGATTCAGAAATTCCCAGCTAACTTCTCCATAGATTTTGTGCATAAGAATTTATATGAAGGAACATCTCTCAAACCATTACAACTTCTTTCATTAGCTTCAAAATAGCGTATAAGAATCATTTTCCTTTCTTTTCCTTTCCTATGTCCTTACTGTTTTCTCAACAACCAAATATGTCCATCAACTAAAAAATCAATTAACAGAGAAAATTAAAAAAAAAAAGGCAAAAACCACATACCTGACCAGTATTGCCATTGACAAAGACATTGCTACAATTGAGATCCCTATGAATGATACAAGGCTCATGGGTATGCAAATAGTCCAAACCCTTCAAAATCTGCTTTGACCACTTTTTCAAAGCCTTCATAGAAACATGTCTGTGCTTCTTCCTGTACTCCCTCAAATTCCCAGAAGTACAAACCTCAGTGATGAAATTCAGATGGTTGTGCACATCATCTCTCCATACCTTGTACAAAGAGATGATATTCTTGCTGGTTAAGTTTCTCAGGAGTTTAACCTCAGAGTAGAGCCTGTCAATCATGGCTGGATCATTGGAAAAATTCCTCAGCTTGACTTGGTTCCATGCCACCTCTATGCCTTCTTCTTGATCAAATGCACGGTAAACTTTTTTAACAGCACCACAGCCGAGCAATTCACTGTACCGGCCATACCTGCCGGTAGGATCAACCTCCACAAATGGCTCTGCGTCCTTATCAGATGGGTCAGGATTTGCACTTGGCATCTACATTCAATCAAGATTATGAAAAAGTATTAGCTGAACAGAGAGACTTTTGCTTGATCTTCAAGTACACCGAACAAGAAAAAGAAACTAAAAATCCAAACAAGAAAAAACTAGGTTAGACCATGAAAAAGTGATTCTTTCTGATTTTCTTTTAATCCAAACATGTGGGAATTATACAAAGATTACGAAATTATATCTAACAGAAAAGACCCCGTAATCATAATTCTCAAAGAACACAGAATCTTGACCTAAACATGGAAGAAAAACGATGATAAACCAATATATTTTCAAATAAGACAGACCAACAAGAAACATAATGAAATCTCCCAAACAAGTTCCAATATTTACAAGATCAAACCCACAAAGAAAACAACCTCAAAGCAAGCAGAATTGAACAATCTCTTTTGATAATAGAAGAAAACAAGAGATTTTTCCAAAATTAAATAGGGTTTAAAGCTTAGACAATCAAGAAAAAAAAAAAAGATAAGAGAGATGAAAAAAAAAAAAGTGAAGAGAGAAAAGAAGATACTCACCATAAACAGAAAGCGTAAGAAGAAAAAGATGAAGGTTCTTGCTAGAAGAAAGTAGCCAGAAGCTCTCCGCCAAAAAAGCAAGTTTACAGAACAGAAAGTATGGAGAAAAGTTGAAGGGTTTTGGAGGTGGGTATATATAGGAGGTTGAGAGGTTTAGTGGGTTAATTATGATTAATTTAATCAGTATTAGGAAATTAAAATGCCGTTTTAGATTATAATTATACTCCTCCTCCATAACGGTCTACCTCAAAAAGATATCCAAATAAAAGGAAACTCAGGAAAACTAATTCCAGAATTTAAATAATTTAAACTAATTATTTAATTAACGAAAGCGCATGAATTAAATCCGATTTTGATTTCTTCTTAGGGTTCTCCCACTGGTTTAGGGATTTGATCAGTAATATCCAATTCGTTACAGGGAGTTCCAAAAAATAATCTACTGATAAAGTCAACTTTCTCAGGTTTAAATCTGGACCGTTCATGTCGGAATCTGCGTCTTTTGGGTTGATCCCACATGGTTTCTACGGTCCAGATTAAGCTAGGGACTCCCAGTAGATTGGGTGGAAAAGAAGTCCACTCTCTTCCAAATATTTCTGTCGGTCCAGTCAACGCAGCTACAGGTATGGCTTGTTTGGCTTGCAAGAAAATTTATGATTTTCTGTTCTTCCAGTTAAAGAATCATGATTGGATTAAGATAATCCATATTACTAAAATTAAAAAAAAATATATATATATATATATATATATATATTAGACCACCCAAAATTTGGGTGATTATTTAAAAAATTATATTTCTTAATTGGTTGGATAATAATAATTAGATTATACAAATTCAATGGATTATATATGTAGTTTAATGATAATTTGGATATAAATATCTGTAATTTAATCCCATTATTTAAATATTGGCCTGCCTCAAAGATAATTATTACTCGCATGAAATTTTTTGTCAAGGATAATAATTAGTAATTAAGCATGATATTAGCTGTTAAATGTATCTTCAAAATTAAGATTAATATATATACATACATTTACATATATATGAATTCGTATACCCCAATATAATTATCAATCATTATTAATGCCTAAAAAGGTAATTTTGAATCAATCAATAAATATATGTATATATATATATATATCTAACATATTAGATAATTATTGATCACGGGAAATCCTTAATCAAGGATATTAGGTTAGTGATTAAGCATTGTATAACTAGTATTCAACTAACTTGAAAAATAATTAAGATATAAAAATAAAAAGTGATTTATAAATTAAGTGCATGTAATTATATATATATATATATACATATGTGTGTGTGTGTGTGTGTGTGTGTGTGTGCATTTGTCTTGTGATGCCATGCATGCTTTTGCATGAATTATGAATAATGCATGAAGCAACATGTGATCTCTTTTACCATGTAACGTAACATGTGAAGCATGTGAAAACGACCCATCTTCGTTCAATGCACTTGTCTAATGTATATATATATATGTTTTTAGCTATTAATTATTGATTAAAATTGTCAAATACTATAATAATCAATATTATATACTATTTAAAATCTTAAATTGATTTGTACAAGGTTGGCTCATCATAATTGGAATCATGATACAGCTGGAATATGAATGTGTGTCTGTATATAAATATATATATATATATATATATATATATATATAACGTCAAGTATTGTATTAGATTAACTTTACCTCATTAAAATTAAATTTATTTTTAAATTAATAATTATTGTAAATAAAAATATTGATAGATTTGTATAGTTTAAAAATTTTTACTTTATAACTATATTTGTGATATTTAATTTAATAAAACATATAATTTAATTTAATAATATATTAATCGTACTGTAACGAATAAATTATGATAAATATTAATTTTAATAATTAATTTTTATTAATTATAATTATCACAATAATTAAGAATTTGAATTAATTTTTTTTAATTTTTAAAAAGATAAATAAATCATTAGGAATTACTAGGGGCGGTGCCTTGTGTAATTAGAAGTATAATCTTAGAAAAAGAAAATACTAGTTACGTATAAAACTCTTTATATATATATATATGTATATATATATGCATGAGAACCTTTTAGTTAATCTTTTGGCTTGACACATCATTATGTTATTAATTTGATTAATTAATTAAAAAAGTCATATTATAAAAAAAAAATATTGATGAGATATATTATTTCTATGTAAACAACATAACATGTTTAGACCTACTTAATTTGTTTTGTTATGAAATGTCAAATGAGTTTACAAATTAAAATTTTAATTTAACTTAATATTGCTATTAAATATATATTATAACATATATATATATGATGTTTGCATGTATGTATCTAATGTACCAATATATATATTTCTATATGCATAATGTGCATATCAATATATCTAATTTGTTAATATATTATATATTATTGAGATCAATTTATTTGAATAGTGAAATAAGTTTAAACATATTTAACTTGTTTGAATCAATTTTAACGAATTTGAACGTATCAACTCGTTATAATAACCTAAATCTATTTAGATAAAAGTTACATTGTAAAAACTTGGAACTTAAAAGGAAATAAGGTCATAAATTAAGTGCGGAAGCGAAATAATAGAATTTAGAATGCCCAATGGAGTTACAAGAATGACCATTCTAAAAGAACAAACAAAAATCAAAAAAATAAATAAAAGACAGTATGCTGAGCATTCTAGGACGACTTTCACGAGATTTTGAAGGGAGTTCAGGTGGTGAACTATTCACAACTCTCTTATTGATCGGGATCTGAGTCTTGGTCCTCTTGATCTGAAATAGTTAATAAAATGGTGAGCTATACTAGTCCAGTAATAATATCACACTATTCACCGATACAGAAACTGAAGGTTGGTAAAAATCATAAAACAACCAATAGAACTCTTGATTTAAGTAAATTCATTTATTGTAAGGAAAATAATTTATTGCATATATTTACTATTGCAAAATTTTCAAAATTGACCTATAGAGACAATAACTCAAATAACATTCCAATATCATATTCAAGTAAGTAAGAACAATAATTTTTTTTATTTGTCTACTGATATCCCTATGAGCCCATAGAGATATCCCACTATGCGTGAACCAATATCCAATATTGTCGACTAACCGACTGTCCCCATACTTCGTCCGATATGAGGGTAAATTAGGCAGTCCCCATACTCCGTCCAGTATGGGCGCCAAAAATACCATTCCACGATACCCCATTAGGTATGAAGCAACATTCACGGTAGGGTTCCCTATATACCCGGTCCATCCATCATCTTTCAGGATATCCAGTAAGGCTACCATTCATTAATTTACGTGACCAAATAATTTTTCATTTGCATATTAATTTTTAATTTCACAAATCAACCGTCAATCACGCAAGATAAACAATATATATATCAAGGAAGCACAACTAAATCGTTTAACCATTCCAATATATCATAATGTATTTAAAGTTGTAAATTTAATAATTAGTTAGACATGACAATTAAAGAACTAACCGATTCCAGCTCTATTATTAACCTGTAATTATTCTCAAGTTTCAAAATTATACAAAATACAATATTATCGATTATTAAGCTTCAATTCCATAACAGAAAATAAGGTGAGAGATTCTTATCCGAATCAGTATCTAAAATATCGAACTTTCTACTGCGCCTATTGGCGGTCCCTGGATTCCATGAATTTTTTTTGCGGATATTAAAACACGCTTCATGTACCTAAAAATACCCAAAAAAATCCAAAATCGATATTAAAAACCATTTTCGGCCAATTTTGAAATTTCAGCACAGTGGCACTGTCGTGCTCCAGCAATGGCACCGCCATCCGCGGCCATGGTTTGTCTTGGTCTGACCAGTTTCAGCCGATTTTATACCCATATATGCGAGAAAACACGTTAGGGGTCTCAATTAGCCGAAAAAAGTTAAAAAAACAGAAGCCTACTAGCAGTAGGATTTTTTGGTGTGGCGGTTCCGCCAACTCACCTTCGCGGCTGGGCATTTTTCTTCAGTCAACCTATAGAAAATAGAACGGTGAACACAATTGTAGATAAATTGCACGAAACAGAAAACGGGAAACGGAAAACAGGAAGGGGCTCATCGGAGGCAGTTGCCAATTTTGCTTGCGATGGCGCCGCTGGACTGTCCACAATTTTCGGCTCATTCATCATTTTTTACTCTGATTTGGCTACGAGGGTACTTGAAATCAAATTCCGAGCGGATAGGAGAATTTTTACCTTTTTTGATGATCAGATGTGGCTCCGGCGCGGCAACGGGCAGCGGTCGGCTCCCTTCTATGGTGATTGGTTCTTATTCTCCGAGGGGAGGCTGTCGGCTAGGGTTTAGATTTGGTGTGATGCGAAATATTTATACCTGTCTCGCGTAAATCTGGACCGTTTATCGCGTTTGATCTTGACCGTCTGATCGTGTTTACAGAGAAAATGAATTTATACCATTCATCACAATTTGATCTCAATCATCCGATCGTATTTAAAGAGAGAACAAATCTGAACCGTTCATCATATTTAATTGCGACCGTTCGATCGTACCTAAGGAGGAAATGGATCCAGACCGTCCACGCACGCGGGAACGCTTCCGGGTTGTCCAATCACGGGGCATGCAGATCGTCAGTGTAGCGCCCGGTCCGAGAAGGAGAAGGAAAAAAAAAAAAGAAAGCCACGTCGGCAGCCACGTCAGCAGGCCCGGTCAGCAGTCCCGGCCAACCGAGGCCTGCCACGTGGCAAGACCACGTCGCTCCAAAAAGGGGCCACGTTGGCGATCCGCGTGGGTGCGATCCGACGGCCCAGATCAATCGCGCGATCGGACGGCCCAGATTCAATCAAAAACGAACGGTCCAGATTAAAACGAAATGGACGGCTGAGATCAAAAGGCAAGGGGTTATAAATAGAACCCCCACACCAGACCACAAACCCTAGCCGCCTGCCGCTCACCGGAGAAGACGAACCAGAGGCCGACCGCCGCCACCCGCCGCCGCACCGGGGAAATTTTCGACCGCTGATCGAGGTAAATTTCATACCCCCGACTCGTTTTTCCACGCTGATTCCTCCTGTGGCCAAATCGAAGCCAAAATCCCGGCCAAACGGCCGGAATACGCGGCCGAAGACCA